AAAAATGTTTTAATCAAATGTGAGCTGGCAAGCAAGAACAACAATACTATAGTAAGAAGAACTAAATTCAGGACAAAACAAGGGTATGCTTTAAGATAAAGAGAGCGTTACATAATGGCAACAACCATGGCTATTAATGAAGCCATGCAGATACAAATCTATAGTTACCAAAGAAACTGACGAGATACCAAAAAACAAACATTAGGAACACGGGAAGGAAGAGTCTTTACAAAAGAAGATTTTAAAACGCCATTATCAGGAAGACTTAAAAAACAAACAAACAAAAAAAAAACCTCACAGCCTACCGGAATACACAAAATTGATGTCTGGCAGGAATTCAATTTCATGATTACAGTGTGTGGGGGTCTTTTTAAAGAGATGTAGAACATTTACAAAACTCGATAATACCAGTTACAAAGAATATCTCAATGAAATGAAAAATAATTAGATTCCTCTTCTAGTTCAAGAGAAGAGATTTCTGGCCTGGGGAAAACACAGAGAACGGAACCAGGAACTGAAAAGAGGGAGATGGTGTTAATATCAACTCCAGGGTCCCTAGGCATGTGGGAGAGGTGGCGGAAGATGAATGGATATTGATTTATGATCTGGCTGAACCAAATACCTCCTGCTAATTTCCTTACTCACTAAACATCTTCATGTAGACCTGAAATGTGAACCATTAAAATGGGACTCACAGAGAGGGCTCAAGGCATGGTTGCTTAACCCATTGGTTCTCAAAAGTGAGTTCCCCACATCAGCTACAGCAACATCAAATGGGAGCTTATAAGAAACGCAAATTTCCAGCCCTACCCCAAGCCTCCTGAAGCAGAACTTCCTCTAGGGTGAGTTCCAGGGGGTTCTCACACTAAAGCATCTGATGCTAAAGTTGTATAAATACCACAGCTTCCTCACCCTTGGAGCAAGTGAACTCTGAGGTCTGAGTTTACACTGGCTTTTGGAGTTTCCCCAGTGAAATTAAGCTCTGTCACCCATAGTACTAATCTTCTAGGGATGCTTTCCCTTCACAGTCTGACTTCCCCAGTCCCCTCCTGGTGCTCTCTTCACCTCCCAAATAAACTGCTTGCACTCGTGATGTGAATAAACATAGCTACTTGAAGTTATCTACTAATAAGGTTTGAATATTTGTCCCCATCAAATCTCATGTTGAAATGTGACCTCCAATGTTGGAGGTGAGGTGTGGTGGGTGTGTTTGGGTCATAGGTTGGATCCCTCATGAATGGCTCGGTGCCTCCTTCATGGTAAAGAGTAAGTTCTCACAGAGTCTGGGGCCTCCCCGCTCTCGTTTCCTTTCTCACCATGTAACACTCACCTACTCCCCTTCCTTTCTACCATGACTGAAAGCTTCCTAAGCCCTTACCAGAAACCAAGCAGATGCTGGTGCCATGGTTCATGGATATTCTGCAGAACTGTGAGACAAATAAAGCCTCCTTTTTTAAATAAATCACCCAAGGCCAGGCACAGTGACACAACTGTAACCCCAGCACATTGGGAGGCTGAGGCAGGAGGACCATTTGAGCCCAGGAGTTTTAGACTAACCTAGGAAACATGGCAAAACCCTATCTCTACATAAAAAATACAAAAATTAGCTAGGCATGATGGCACATGCCTGTGGTCCCAGCATCTCAGGAGGCCGAGGCAGGAAGATCACCTGAGCCCAGGAGATGGAGGCTGCAACAAGCCATGATTGCACCACTGCACTCCAGCCTGGATGGCAGAGTGAGACCCTCTCTCAAAATCAATCAATCAGTCAATCAATCATCCAGCCTCAGGAATTCCTTTATAGCAACAGCAAACAGACTAATACACCTACTGAACCCACTAAACGTCTAACCCTGCACTGGAGGTCCCTGCAGTCAAGGAGCTGGAGCTATGGCTGAGATTGCCTTAACTTTCCCTTCCTCCTCCTCGGCTGGGCTCTACCTAGACTTCCTCAGGAGAGGGGGCATCACTGGCAGCAAGTCTTCACCCCAAACCAGCCCGATCTGCAGTTTTGGGTGCTCTAGCCCCAGGCCACCTCCGGACATTTTGCCAGTAGCTCACACCTCCCCTTTTCTTAGCCCTACCTGGCTCCATCATGCACTACCTTGTTGAGAGACTTACTGAATTTCAACCACCAGCCAGGCCCTGGGAAACAATGTCCCACCCAGGGGACATTGAGAGAGTCCACTGGGCAGAACAAAGACACACTGCATGCTAATAAGTGTGACAGTTGGTAGCAAGGTGCTGAGATGGCACAGAACGAGGGCTTCATTATCCTAAAGGTGTATAAATACCCCAGCTCCCTCACACTTGGAGCAAGTTAACTCTGAGGTCTGGGTTTACAATGGCTCCTGGAGTTTCCCCAGTGGGATTAAGCTCTGTCACCCACAGCACCATTCTTTTTGGGATGACTTCCCTTCACAATCTTACTTCACTGCTCAGAGGACAGAGGCGGCTTCTCTGAGGAAGTGCTCTGCTGGAGACAGCTGGGAAACAGGTGGAACTTACTTAGAAGGCTGATCAAGGGGTCTGCAGCAACAGGGAGTTCAAGAGCAGAGATTTCTGGACTGGGGAAACTATAGAGGGAGTCCCTGCAGGGGGGAATGGGAGGACTGGTGGAGCAAGACATCTGTGGTAGGTGCAGAGAAAGGCCACAGAGAAGGGAGCTGTGGGCATGTCAAGAAAAGAGACTTTGCTGCACTACTTAGAGGCTTCCAGGAACTGAAAGAGCTTCCTGTTCACAAGGAGACAATCATTGTCAGGTTTAGAGGAATCTACAGATGAATAATGGCCAAAGGTAAGGAAATAAAACTAGAGATGTGAAAAATCCACCAAATGACCCATCTCTATAAGCCAGAGGTCCCAGAGAAGGCATACCGCTAGGCCCAGGTACAGCCAGGCCCTTCAGAAGAGGCAGCCAGTTCAGAAGGGGCAGGGACATCACCTCCCAGGCTGATTAAATAGGAGAGGCTCATTCCTGTGCTCCTGAAGATAATCCGGTTTGAAACAGGACCCGTGACATGGCCTCCTCCTCACCATCTTCTTGAGACCGGAGGGGCTTCCAGGGTAATCCTCCACTCAGCACGATGAAAGGAAGGGGTTTAGCCTACTCCTAATCCTGTCGTTGCTTAGAAGATAAGGTTTCTTGGCCTTCAGGCCCTCACTCTAGCTGGTTTTCTTTTATCTCATCAGCTTGTGGGGGTCACTCCCTGCAGTGAGCAAGGTGAATTTTGCAGGCTGGGGACCAACACCAAGGCACCATTAGCAACATCCAACCCCATTGCTCTGGATGCCACACCTTTGTCCAACCATTAAATATCTCCACGGACCTCTCCGGAGTTTTGCAATTGACATGCAATATTTGCTTGTTGTAGATTTTTCGTTGAGCCATCATTCCTAGTAGCACTGAATTCCAGAAGATCAGCAAACGCCACTCATTGCTACTTAAGATCGTTTCGTCCACAGTGACCCAGAGGAGAATTCCAATGTAGATAAATAGTTCCTAATAGTTCCTAACACAGGATGGAATTGTTTATTTTGCTTCTCGGAGAAGGACAACAAAGATGGGGTGTGGGCTGGGGAGTGAAGGAGGAATGCAGCCCTTCACTGCCATCTACCTTAGGTCATGCGAAGCGGGAAACTCATCTAGATCCATGGGCAGTTGCTGATTCTTACCCACTCTAGAACAGCAGTCCTCAACCTTTGTGGCACCAGGAAGCGGTTTTGTGGAAGACAATTTTTCCATGGAACTTGGGGATTGGGGAAGATGGTTTCAGGATGAAACTGTTCCACCTCAGATCATCAGACATTCGATTCTCATAAAAAGGGTACAATCAGCCAGGCGCGGTGGCTCATGCCTGTAATCCCAGCACTCTGGGAGGCTGAGAGGGGCAGATCACCTGAGGTCAGGCTTTGAGACCAGCCTGGCCAACACAGCAAAACCCTGTCTCTACTAAAAATACAAAAATTAGTCTGTCATGTTGGTGTGCGCCTGGGGTCCCAGCTACTCCGGAGGCTGAGGCAGGAAAATCACTTGAACCTGAGAGGCAGAGACAGCAGTGAGCTGAGGTGGCATCACTGTGCTCCAGCCTAGGTGACAGAGCGAGACTCCACCTCAAAAAAAGGGGGGTACAACCTAGATTGCGTGCCCGCATAGTTCACAATAGGGTTCATGCTCCCATGAGAAGCTAATGCTGATGCTGATTAGACAGGAGGGGGAGCTCAGGCAGTAATGGAGCAAAGGGGAGCAGCTATAAATACACAGGAAGCTTCCTCATTCTCCTGCCACTCATCTCCTGCTGTGCAGGCCAGTTCCTAAAAGGCCACACAGATGGCTGCTGACCCATAGCCTTGGGTTGGGGACCCCTGCCCTACAGGACTCAGAGCAACAGGCCAAGGTGTGCCCAGACGCATTCCTCTAAAAGACAGCAGTCCTCAACCTTTTTGGCATGAGGGAGCAGTTTTGTGGAAGACAATTCACCACCCAACAGTAACTGCTCAGCATCCGTCTCAGTCATCTGTCTACCTGCATCTACCTGTGTCACCTCCCTGCGCCCTGGGCTTCAGGGCGCACCTGCACAACTTCCGACTCCAGCCCCTGCACTTCCTTGCCTGAAACCTTTGCGGATGCCTAAGCCATCGCTCCACCCCCTGCCACTGGGGACAAGGTGCCCTGGCTCATGCCTGTAATTTGAGCAGTTTGGGAGGCTGACACTGGAACATTGCTTGAGGCCAGGAGTTTAAGACCAGCCTGGGCAACATAGCTAATTTTAAAATTAGCCAGGTGCGGTGGTGCGTGGCTGTATTCTCAGCTACTCAGGACGCTGAGGTGGGAGGATCACCTGAGCCCAGGAGATCATGGCTGCCATGAGCTCGATCAGGCCACTGAACTCCATTCCCCAGATACGCTCTGGAGACCAGGAGGCACAGGTGATTGGGCTCATGCTGGAATTTCCCCCTGCTGTCATCAAGTGCCGTGCACAGGTCAGCCACCCCCGTACCTTCGTCGCTGTTGTCATCCACCAGAATGATTTCCTTCAGCAGGTGTGTGGGCGTGTGATTGACGGCACTGTGCACTGACCGCAGGATCACGGACAGGGCCTCGTTCACGAAGATGAAGATGATGGATATCTGGGGCAGGTCCTTGGAGTACTTGAGCTCCTTACACCTGCGGAAGGAGAGATTGGAAATGCAGAGTCAGAGGAAGGGTAAAAGCTCATCACTGCAGCTGGATCCAACGAAGATTTCAGCCCGTTCTTCATCCAGTCCTCCCGAGGCGTGAATCACGGTTCCCTCTGGGCTTTTCCTTGGCTAAGAATTGAGAATGAACCTTGAGGAGGAGAGCATTAACAGATCCAAACCCACTTCCCCAAACTTCACCACCCGACAAGAAAGTCTCAGCGTCAGTCCCAGGCACGTCTCCCTGTATCTACCTGTCACCTCTCTGCGCCCTGAGCTTCAGGGTGCACCTGTGCAACTTCCAACTCCAGCCCCTGCACTTCGCTGCCTGAAATTTCCTTTAAGGATGCCTAAGTGATTACTCTACCCCCTAAATCTCTCAACTAGAGACCACTGGGGACAGGGTGCTGTGGCTCATGCCTGTAATTTCAGCAGTTTCGGAGGCTGACGTGGGAGCAGCACTTGAGGCCAGGAGTTTAAGACCAGCCTGGGCAACATAGCAAGATTCTGTATCTACAAAAAATTTTAAAATCAGTCAGGTGCAGTGGTACATGTCTGTGTCCCCAGCTACTCAGGAGGCTGAGGTGGGACAATCACTTGAGTCCGGAAGGTCGAGGATGCCATGAGCTATGATAATACTACTGCACTCCAGCCAGAGTAACATAATGTGATACTGTTTCAAAAAAAAAAAATGCCAGGAATTGATGTATTTAGTTGGTTCAAAAGTAATTGCATCAACCTAATACAAATAACCCAGATCCCTCAGCTCTAGAGCAAGTTAAATGTAAATTCCCCTAGCAGGATTAAGCCCTCATCACCCACAGCTGCAATCTTCAGCACGCTTTGGAGGGGGTGCCTTTCTCTCCCCGTCTCCCCACTCCCCGAGTGATGCTGTCTTCACCTCCAAAATAAACTACTTGCACTCAAACCTTTGCTGCAGGTTCTATTTCTGGGGGAACCCAAATAAAGACATCTAGTGAGCCCACTAAGAATTCTGTTTTGTATCACACTAGAGGTTCCTGCTGTCACAGAGCTAACATTCTAGGAGAGGAAATAAAACACCGATGCCAATAAACATAGTAAAGGCAAAGGACCCTGTACCTGCAGCAGTGTGCAACCTGAGGCACATCAGCTCCTCTGCAGGCCGTCCTAGAATCTCCCTGGAGACAGGAGACAGGATGACCTGCTGACATCCCTCCCTCAGAAGAGCCAGCAGTCCCTCACATGCCGGAGCGCAGAGATTAAAGGGGGGAATTCCTCTCATCCAGGCTGGACTCCAGAGCACAGAGCTTTGGCCTCCTCCACGGCTCCAGGTGATGTAAGGGATGAGTTAGTACCCGGGGAACGTGCTCTGCTTTTATCAGTCACAGGTGCACTAAGAGTCTGTCCAGGCAGCACTGGGGAATTTGGTTTTATGCTTACACCTGGGCCATATGTGCTCATAGGCATGGCCCAGCTCTCCATTGCTTTTACCTGTTTAGAAAAGTTTTCAGTTGTTAGCCAATCAGGGTTTTAGTTTAGATTGTGAGGTCTGGCTCCAGCCAACGGAGATCAGACACAGCAGTAAGGAGACTCCAAATGCATAAGGGATAAATGTGTGTGTTTTCCTTTGTTCGTTGTACTCTCGTGGCAAGACGGCTAGTGAGAGTACTTCCTGCAATCCAGGAAGTAAAACAGCAAAGAGAAACAGTGGAACGCAGTGCCGAGGTATGCGCGCTTTAATGCATCCTTCTGCTCCTTGTGGGAGATGGTATGATATACAGCACAACTGGATAGGGAGCAGAATAAAGAAAACAGATGAAGCCACGGAGAGAGAGAGGAGCAGAGCTGAAGAAGGAGCAAGAAATACGGCTGCTTCCTATGCCGAGCAGCTTGGGCCATGTCGGGTCGTATTAATCACGCAGGCAATTTTCAGAAGAAAATAAAGTTTTGTTACAATATGTGTTTGTGTCTCCTGGAGGAGCTGGTCCAGGGATGCATTGATGAAGCAGCGTCATTTTTACCATGCTGCTGTAAATCTATTCTGGGGGCTGCCAGAGAGATTTCAGTGATTATTGACAGGTTCACGGGCAGTTGGCAGGAATCAGCTCATTGACTGCGTGGTGGTCCGCAAGACAAAAGCACTCCAGAGGGTCCCTGAGAGGCCCCTCGACCAGAGGTCAGCAGCCATCCTGTGCCTGGCAGTGTGGCACCTGTCCCATCTCAGCTCATTCTCACCAGCTGTACACATGTGTGTTTGTTACCAGAAAGCGGTCCTGATGCAGACCCCAAGAGAGGGTTCCTGGACCTCACGCGAGAACGAACTTGGGGCGAGTCCATAGAGTGAAATGAACGCAAGTTTACTGAGAAAGTAAAGGAATAAAGAAGGAATGGCTGTTCCATAGGCAGAGCAGCTAAGAGAGCTGCTGCTTGCCCAATTTTATGGTTATTTCTTGATCATCTGCTAAATAGAGGTGGATCATTCATGAGTTTTCCGGAAAAGGGGTGGGCAATTCCCAGAACTGAGAGTTCCTCCCATTTGTAGACCATATAGGGTAACTTCCTGATGTTGCCATGCCATTTGTAAACTGTCATAGTGCTAGTGGGAGTGTCTCTTAGCATGCTAATGCATTATAATGAGCTGTGAGGACAGCCAGAGGTCACTTTCATTGCCATCTTGGTTATGGTGGGTTTGGGCTGGTTTCTTTACCACATTCTTTACCTCATTATTTTACCAGCAAGGTCTTTGTGACTTGTACCTTGTACTTACTTCCTATTTCATCCGTGACTAAGAATGCCTTAAACCTCTGGGAAAGCAGCCCAGTAGGTCTCAGCCTTATTTTACCCAGCCCGTATTCAAGATGGAGTCTCTCTGGTTCAAACACCTCTGACACACGCTGTCAGAGGCACACAGTACACACCCACTGACTCTGTGCATGTCTTCCTGGCGCTAATTTTTCTCTGATCCTTTGCTTTTAACAGCTTCTGGATTTTGAAACTGAAAAGAAATGAGGCCAGATTGTACAGTCCTAGCACCATCTTCTCCACCCACAAGCAATGGGGTTACACTGCAATCAAGGATCTGGTTGTTAAGTCAAGCCTCTTGGCTGGGGCAGGCAACTCCCCCTGGGGAAATGGGAAATGAAGCAGCTGTAGGAAGTAGGAAAGTTCCTTTTTAATGTTTCCTTTCTTGTTAAAGAATAAGTGTAGTAATAACTTTGTTAAGCCCTGTCCTATGTAGCTGTGAGACATGCCATGCTTACAGGCACATAATACATTCTGTGTCCTTGTACTTTAACCAAGCTGTCTGTGCCGGACATGCTCACAGGCATGTCCCAGCTCTCCATGGCTTTTACCTGTTTAGAGAAGTTTTCAGTTGTTAGCCATTCGGGTTTTGGTTTAGTCCAGGCGTCCCCAAACTTTTTACACAGGGGGCCAGTTCACTGTCCCTCAGACCGTTGGAGGGCCGCCACATACTGTGCTCCTCTCACTGACCACCAATGGAAGAGGTGCCCCTTCCTGAAGTGCGGGGGGCGGGGGGGCGGATAAATGGCCTCAGGGGGCCGCATCATGTGGCCCACAGGCCGTAGTTTGGGGACGCCTGGTTTAGATTGTGAGGTCTGGCTCCAGCCAGCGGAGACCAGACACAGCAGTAAGAAGACCCCAGATGTGTAAGAGATAAATGTGTCTGTTTTCCTTTGTTCATTGTACCCTCATGGCAAGATGGCTAATGAAGAGTACCCTTCCTGCTGTCCAGGAAGCAAGAATTGTGTTGCTAAAAAGATCCTTTGTCTCAGTGCTCATTTTTCTTTGCAGCACTGAGCATATTTCCAACACCAGGTAAGGTGGGCAGTTGCCTGTCCCTGGGGACCAGGTGCATCCTTAGCCCGGAGCAGGCGCCAAGCTTCTGGCTCTGGGTATGACCTAAGTCTGGGAAAAAGCCACAACCCACACCAGGACGACCTGTCCCCTCAGACTACTTCAGATGCTGAGCCCAAGCCAGGGGCAGGAAGCTAGACTGATGCTTAGGGTAGTCCCGACAAAGTCCCTGGTTCTCCCCAGACACATTGTCTGCCTCTCTGTTGGCCTTCCAGGCTACAAAAGCCAGGCAATGGGAGATGGAAGGCTGAGGAGGGTGGATCACTTGAGGTCAGAAGTTTGAGATCAGCCTGGCCAACATGGCAAAACCCCAACTCTACTAAAAATACAAAAATTAGCTGGGTGTGGTGGCGTGCGCCTGTAGTACCAGCTACTCAGGAGGTGGAGGCAGGAGAAGCGCTTGAACCCAGGAGGCGAAGGTTGCAGTGAGCCGAGATCGTGCTTAACTGGGCGAGGTTAGAAACCTGGGTTCTGGCCAGACACAGTGGCTCACGCCTGTAATCCCAGCACTTTGGGAAGCCAAGGTGGGCGAATCACTTGAGGTTAGGAGTTCGAGACCAGTCTGGCCAACATGGTGAAAGCCCGACTCTACTAAAAATACAAAAATTAGCTGGGTGTGTGGTGTGCTAAAACAAAAACCCCTCGAAATCTATACCTGGGGGTTGCTGTATGCTCCCTCTAGCAACACGGACTTGAATCTGAGCTTCAGAAATCATAAATGTCCTTTCAATAACTACTCAGTGAGCAATGAACAATCCTTTATCTGAAAGAAGACTGGTAGCTAAAAAGCTATTTTAAGGTCTGGACCAATTTCTTTTTTTCTTTTCTTCTTCTGTTATTATTATTTGGAGAGAGAGTCTCTTTCTGTTGAATCTTTTGACCCAGGAGACAGAGGTCACAGTGAGCCATGATTGCACCACTCCACTCCAGTCTGGGCGACAGTGAAACTCCATCACAAAAAAAAAAAAAAAAGAAAGAAAAAGAAAGACACGCTTGTGACCCAGTCTGCCAACTTGAAAACCAAAAGCTCCGAAAACATCCTCTCACTGAAAAACAATTTAGGTATGACTGGGCCTAGGAGGCCTAGCAGGCTACAAAAAACGGTGATGATGCTGGTAATAACTAACACGT